CGTGGGCTATATTCTGGTCAACTCATCTCATCCCATCTTCACATTTACCATGCAACGTCCAGGCAACTGGATAGGCCAACCTCAGTGGCAAATTAGCTAAAAGCTCTCTCTGGCTAAATCCAGGGTCCCACAGCTTACTGTAGGCTCCCCGAGATATTCATCATTTTTGCCCCACATCAGCTCTGTTTTATAAATTAAAACATAAAAACCCCATCAAAGTACGCCCTTAAAACATTTGAAATGATGAAGCGGGCGGTGCCCCATATCCCACTAGGCTCTACCCAGACCTAGCCTCCAGGGTAGTAGGCCCGAAGATGGTTTAAGCCAGGGTCCTGATGTCTCTATGTTACGCCACTGGCTAGCCATATCTTTTTGATGTACTGTATATCAGTGTCTGGCAGTTAATATCTAAAGACATTGTTGACAGACATGAGTAGTTAACTTGCAATTCACACTACAAAAATGCTTAAAAGTCGGTCATCATTTTTTTTTCCACTTTAGGTCTAAGCTTAATTCTGGGGTTCATTGCCAAATATCACTCACCTAATGGTTTTGGCTATAAATAATTTTTAAAAATACATCTCAGCCAACTACCCAGACATAAGCAGCTGATTATAAATTTGAATGGGTTGTGTACTACACAGTAAAACGTCTCAGCAAAAACCTAATTAGATAATTTATTTGACATAAAAAAAATCAATGTTTTGATTAATAGGTTTTCATGGTTTTCCTGATTTTACTAGACATCTCTGAACTTCGATGATAAAGTGTGCACCTGCTACTTTTCAGATTTAGCCTCCTACTAAGTTACAAAACTTTTGAAATCCCTGCAATTTATATTAAATAATAATAATAATAATAATAATAAATAATAATAATAATAATAATAATAATAATAATAATAATAATAATAATAAAAATTTATTTTTAAGGCATTTTCAGATAACATTTGTTGAATGTGCTTTACATAAAAAGATAAATTACAGTTTCAGATATGGAAAGACAACAAATATAATTATTGTTAATAATTTACATCATTAAAATCAATTGATAATTTGATTACCCAAATACATACAGTATATGAATTTAATTTTGTTTTCTATGCGAAATTTGACTTCTGTAATATTTTATCTCTATTCTTATGTTTCAAGTCTCCAGAGGGCACTGTTTGAATTCTGTAATAGAATAATTATGATAGATAATAATTAGATAAATAAATATTTAGAAATAATTAGAATATGCTATGCATAGAGTTTATGTAATTTTATCTCTGTTCTTGTAATTCCACAGTCTCCAGAGGGCACTGTTTGACTTCCGTAATATAATAATTATAATAATTATAATAATAGATAAATATTTAGAAATTATTAGAATATGCTATAGTTTCTGTGATTTTATCTCTACAGTATTCATGTTTCCACAATCTCCAGAGGGCACACTTTGACTTCTGTAAATAGAATAATTATAATAGGTAATAGATAAATATTAGAGAAATGATTAGAATATGATATGCATCTATGAGTTTCTGTAATTTTATTTCTATTCTTATGTTTCCCGTCTCCAGAGGTTGCGTGAGATATAACTCTGATACAACTTAAAACGAGGTAGTAGAATCCAGGTGCTTTTGATCAATTATCCCTCACTTAAGGTAATTCCTATTAACCAATAAATGTCAACTTATTGATTGATTGATTGATTGGTTGGTTGATTGAGTGAGTGGTATTATATATAAGCATTGGTCAGGTTCATATGAACTTAAATCAATTCTGGACAACTTGGAACGACTACATGTTCCTTTTGCAGTGGCGGCTCTAGGATATATTTTCTGTTGGGGGGGGGGGCGCTAAGCTGTCCGACAGGGAAACTTGAACTTGTAGGCCTGAGGGGGGAAAGGAGTTCCCCCTCCCAAATGTGATTTTTTTTTTTAAGAATAGGAACTTCTGGATGGCCGGAAATGGCACTTTCAAGCTGTGACAGACATGAGTTGGCTTGGTGTGGGCCTATTTTTATATTTGTTATGATCTGACTGCCTGACGAGCTCTGTCCGACAAGGGGTGGGGGAGCACTGCCCCTTGGATATTGTTGATAATGTTCCACAAAACAGCAGTTTAAAAACATAACGCAAACGTGCGTTTGTAAGACAACATGAGTGTCCGATAGACGCATGTATTCCTGGCCCGTTTTGATTGGTCATTTGTTTGTTTCTGATTTAATATTTACAAAAACAAAAAAAAAGTTAGTGTGAAACTTTTTTATACCTTGTTTAGTGAAATGTATTTTTAATTTAAAAAATTGTTTTTTCTTTTTGAAAATTAACACTGCCAAAGTGTCTGTGTGATGAAGAATGTAATAGAGGGGTGCTGCACTTAGCCTGCTATTTATTGAATTAGAACTCCAAAATAAGTAACATTTAATTTTTTAAGTTGTTTTTACATAATGTTTGTGGAGCATTATAGTAATCTCCAGTTAACAGGTCTTACATCTAAATTGCAGCCAATTAGATTGCAGATCAATTTATCCTGTAATTCTAGTACCCATTACACAAATCAAATGCAATTTATTTCTTAAGCAGATTTTTAACATAGACTACTTATACATACTAATGATTATATTGTGTCTCTAGTTTAGGCCCAATAAAAAAAATTATTAGTTTATCACGCTCGCACACATCTTTTATGATATTGGTTGGTGGGGGGGGGGGAATTAAATTTTTTTGGAGGGAGAAGGAATTATTATTTTCATTTTACTTAGTAAATAGAGTAGATATCTGAATCATGTTTTTCTTTGAATATCAATGCACCAGCAAACAACGCAAGGGTGATACTTGGCTAAAGGTAGCAAAAGTAAAAAATAAAAATAAAAAGCCTCTCTCCCTCCCTCATCACTTTTCTAGCCTAGATAAGGTGATATACTAATGATTTTGTTTATAGGGCTTTTAACATAATAAATAGTAGGAGGCAAACTGTGATAAGGGAGATAAATGCCATCGTTTCAAACATTAATTGTTATGTTAATATTTAATAAGCCATCACGATTTAATCTTATTATTATTCATTATTATTCATTCTTCTTTCTTTAGTTTGAAATATATTTATTAGTATTCTGGAAATTATAGTTTGAAATATTGAATTACCATATGGCTCAGTTATTATCACTCTCTGTGGACTTTTTCTCATACTCTCTGAAATGTATCTAGATTTGTAACAAAGAACTACACATTTAAAGTTTTCCCCCAGCAAAATAACAATCAATAAATTAATTGAATATAATGAGGCCAAATCTCAAACATGCATGCAACATCAGACAGTGTCTGCTAACCTAATGTTCAGGGGTCACCATGCCCTGTCATTCTGTGCATAATACTATGGGTATTACTGGGTATTATGCCTGTATTATGCATTAGCAGTATATTGGTTCATGTTAGTTTATATTGCAGCCATAAATCATCTCCATTTCAATTGTTTTATTTTGGTGTGCTGCCACCTTGTGGTAAAGATTCTGCAGAGCAGTGTGTGCAGTACCATTGCTATCTGTTTTTTTTTTTTTTAAGATGAGCTACTATAAAACCTCAAATTGAAGACCCCCCTCTTTAGTTTGCAAAAGTAGTACAGGTATACACTGTACAGTACATGAATTTAAGAAAAAAAAAATCATTAAAACGACACTTGGTTTATACAGCAATTTAGGTGATTTAACTTAATAGCTGGTAAATACACTCCATCATATAGATTGATGTTACAGTGGCCATATTTATTGTTTTGTAGTAGTAATTCCAAAAAAGAAGCCCTTCCCCCACCCCTCTTTACTTTGCAAAAGTAGCCTTGAAAAGAAACCCATCCAAAGTTTGCAAAAAAAAAAAATAAGCCCAGGGCTTCTATTCATGGTTTTACGGTGTTGCTTAAAACTTACATAGTGATTTTTATATCCACTTCTTAATTTCTCGTTTTCTTCAGTTTTATTTTCTCTTGTTTGTTTGTTTTTTTTTTTTTTGAAAGTGATATGTTCTCTGCTCCTGTATTTAATGATCATAAAAAAATTAAAATCTCATTTTTTTTTCTGACAATTAGCTAAACAAAATTCTTGTCCTATACTCCTTGAGCTAGGCTAATTTTATTTAATAGTTACCTCAAAATAATGTTTTTCAAATTGTTCGCAAAGCACAAGAAAGACCTAGCAACTAAAATATTAAATTTCATTTTCTTTTAAACTTATAAAACATTAGTCTTTCAAAGTGTGTCAAATATAGTTGTAGTGTATACAAAATTACAGTTGATTTATTTATAAAAATGCAAATGTCTATATCTTCCAAGTACTCACCATTCTGAATGATTTTAGTCTAGACAGCATATTTTGTTATCAAAGTCTGTTTATCAGTGCATTGCTACGAGTGGAGTAAGGATGAGTGTTTGGCAGTAGAGTTGCTTTTTGCAATTAACATTATGGCATACTGTATAAATATTGCATCCACCCGAAAAATCCATTATGAATTATTCAAATAATATGACCAAGATGGTGTTAGGTAGAGGGGAACATCAAGCTGAGGCAGACTTGCAGACTTACATTATGAATCATCTGAAATTGACAGACAATTCAAGTTTAAAAAGGAAAAGTTTGATTTGAGGGGTCACAAGTTGGGGAGAAGCCACTTCTGGGAAATTTTGTTTAATGACCTTTCTTAACACATCTAATTAATAATAATAATAATAATGACTTATATTATATAGTGCATACTGTTATGCCCTCTTTGTGTTTCACATTATCATTACCCTGGCCATTGGATTTAATGCCAAAGGAACACAAACTCATCTCCCTGAGGGAATATTCCATATAGTTGCAGCAGATCATGCAATGTTTTGCTGGATCTGCTCACAGGGATTGGGGGGAGGAGAGGGGGAAGGGGGAAAATAGACTTTAAAAGATGATGAAGATAAGCTATCTGTCTCTTATACACATCTAGATGTGTATAAGAGACAGCCTCTTTACTTTCCAAATAAGTCTAGTTTCGGAACCAATCGGAGTTGTTTGGGAAAACCCACGTTAACGCAAAGCATTTATCGATCGAAGTTGACGCATGTGAAATAGTGAAAATATGGTACGATTTGACTAGGCTTTTATTTACAATTTTCGCCAGAGTCGGATTTGCGTCCCCGGGAATCAATATTTTTTTTGAAGTGTTGATTTATCATGTTTAATCTTAGTTTAGTCAGGTAAGACCTGTCTCAAGTCTGTTCAAAAATTTGTAATCATACTTATAGGCCGTAAAATTCTAGGCAATATTTTGAGCATGTGTGATCACGCGGTAGTCGTAGCTGAGTGACATTGACTGCAGCCGCGGGCCGCATGGTGGTGCGATCCATTGTGTAGGCGTCTGACAGTGAAGGCAGACTGAGGCTTTGTTAGTTTAGGATAGACCATGTGTACTACTGTATTTATTTCCATCTAATTTCTATAATCATACTGATATTACCAGCCTAGCTAGCTAGCCAGCCAGGATTTATTTTAATGCTGTAATATAGGCATTGTGATGTCTATAATATTTGATGAAACATACACAATAGTACAAAGGATAGGGCCAGGCATAAGATTAGAAGACACAATAATACTACAGTACTTTTTTCTATTTATTAAAATTTGGCATGTTCATATACAAAAACGCATGAAAATGAAGCACAAAAAAAAAACAGGTTAGCGGAATACACAAAGAGAAATGGGCTTCTTAAGCCTGGCACCAAAGAGAATTCTCTCGAAACTGCTAACCTGTTAAAAAAAAAGACAAAAAAACAAGTCACTAGTTTAGTTTGTTTCACAAAATATTATTTCGGGCATTGTGACTGAGATACACTAATAAAGTTGCTGTTGCAAGCACAATTTGATTCATGTTGTAATAATTTTAATTAATAACTCAAGCTTTAGTGTTAGTAAAAAATACCAAAAGCATACCAATCTATATATTATTGAATACATTATATGTAACCAATATATTTTATTTATTTTTAGGCACACCAATTTCAGATTCTGTACAGATTTGCAGACAATGACGGTTATGAACGTGCAATGTTAAAAACTTTATAATGATGCTTAAAGATTCAACCATTGAAATCTAATCTACTCAGAATGCCGCAAATGCAGCAGAATAGCCTGCCTATGGAAAAACAAAAACTTGCTTAAAAATAATAAATAAAAAACCACTGCAGCAGTGTTGTTATTGATTTAATTTTTTTTTTTAAATACAGGCTTTGTTTATAAAGAACAATTGTCTTCATTATTATTATTATTACTATTATTACTATTATTACTTACAGAAGAAATAAGCAAACTAATTATGTTTAATGCTTATGCAAATATAAATAATTTCTTATTAGTCAGATTTTTTAGTAAAGTACCAACCAGAAAATGAAATGTTGTCTACCTCAGTACTCTTGTTTCCTGCACTGTATCAAGTATTTATGTCAGTCTTGGAATGTAGGCTTACCATAGTTATTGAAATAAATGTTCTGAAGGATATTATAATCAAATGCAGTACCACCATGTATATTTATATTCCATAATAATTTAAAAGAGATAGGCTAATATACATGTGAATGTGTACTACTATGTAATAAAGTATTACAGTATTTATTACTAAGTATTGTTATAAAAATGTTGTTTTATGTCCTGAAAATCGCATATATTGAGTGAAATTGTGAATGACAGGGTGAAGAAGCATGATGTACACTGGTCATTTAGCCAACAAGATACTGATTTCGGAAGGAATGGAGCCATTTTTAAAAAGGAAAATCGTCGCCGCATATTTACGGGTACGCTAATATGCTAGGCCCCCCATGCATCCACTGCTTAGGTCTCAGCCTCGCATACGAATCAAATAGAGACAAACTGTAATATTGTCTATAAATTACTGAGTTAGAAGATTACATACTTAATAATATTTAATCTACGGGTATATATTTATTTCATACAAATTAATTATTTGTGTAGCACACGGTCTTCGAAATGTTCTGTATATTACGATCTTCCCGAGTACGATCGCCGATATTTACAAAATGGAGTACACGCTAGTCTTCGAGTGCAACGAAATGGAGGCACCCTTAGTTTCCAGAGTCGGATTTGCGTCCCCGGGGCTCGATTTTTCATCTTAATATTTTAAATTATAGATTATAAATTTTTACAGCAGGGATTTTAAATGCTTTACTGTTCAAAATTTTTTTGTATTTTAAATTCGCGAATTACTAAAGCACAAACTTGTAAAAATTGTGTACCACGAATTGTCTATTAAATTACTCTTTATGGTTTCGGTCCAAATACACCAAAAATATTTCACTATATTGTTAAACTATTTATAAACTTATTTCACTATTATGTTTGTTTTGTAAATTAAGTTACTTGATGAATTAACGTTTTTTCAAACACCATCAAATTCTGAAAATTTGAACTAATTTCGAAAAATAGGACGCCCTCTCCTAGGCGAAATTCGACACGATTTTTCCAGTGGCTTTCCTACTGTTCAAGGAGAGCATTAATGATACTTTTAGTAAAAGCAACTGTAAGCTAACTATTGTATAAATACTTTGGGTGCTGGAACCAGTGGTGGTGCCAACGTCTGATATCTGGGGGAAAGTGACAGGCAGGGTAAAATTTTAATGGGAAGGGGAAATAAGGGAAAATTAACACATTGCTGGTATGGTATTGATTGTGATAAGCGCATTACTAAATATGCGACTTCCCTGCGTCAAATTAACTAAGCGATTGACATGAT